AAAGGCACTAAAATGGAGCAAAAATAGTCTGTTCAACCGGTAGTACTGGAAAAACTGGATATCCAAACGTGCCAAAAAATGAACCGGGACCAGATGTGACACTGCATGCCTGTAATCCTAGTAATATGGGAGGCCAAGGTAGAAGAATCACAAGTTTGAGGTCAGACTCAGCAACTTAGTGAGATTCTATCTCAAAAATAAAGTAAAATAAAAATTAAAAAGGCTGGTGAATATAGCTCAGTGGTAGAGTGCTCTTGGTTTTAATCCCTAGTATTGGAAAAAAAAATCTGGACACAGACCTTAAACCCTACATAAGAAAACAAATCTAGACACATGCCTTATTCTCTACACACACACACACACACACACACGCACACACACGCGCGCGCATTATATATAAATATATATTTGTTATATATATTACACGTGTATGTGGTATTATATTATATATAATATATAATGTATATATAGATAAATATATAGACCATAAACACTCACAAAAACTAACTCAAAATGAATCATAGACAATGTAAACTGCAAAACTATAAAACTTCTAGAAGACTACAGAGTCTTCTATGTTGATGAACTTGAGTACGATGATAACTTTTTAGATCTAATGCCAAAGTTGCAATATATGAAAGAAACAACCAATAAGAAGGACTTTGTTAAAATTTAAGACTTCTACTCTTAGAAAGACAATGTGAAGAGACTGAGAAGACAAGCCACAGACTGGGGAAAATATTTGCAAAAAACACATCTGACAAAGGGTCACTATATACAAAAAACTTTTCAATTCAATAATAAAAAAACTAACAACCCTTTAGTGTGTGCATGCATGTGGGGGGGGCACTACTTGTATCTTTTAAATTTTTTTAGTTGTTGATGTTAATTTGTTTGTTTATATACGATGCTGAGAATCAAACCCAGTGCCTCACACTTGCTAAGTGAGTGCTCTACCACTGAGCCACAACCCCAGCCCCTGGTATCTTGATTTAGGATCTGGATTCACAGAGTCTGGGATCAAATCCCAGCTCCAAATTTTTCTAGTTGCTTTACATTTCTATGCTGTTTTCACATGGTGAGGGAGATGAGATGGTAGAAGGGATGCATTTCACTGGGCTCTTGTGGAGATTCTATGAGACGGAACATGCAGAGCCCTTGACCCAGGGCTGGACCCATGGTAGGATCTCAACATTAGCTGTCACTTTTGTTTATTATCATTCTTCTCGTCAACACTGTGTTAATCAGCTTTTCATCATTGTGATAAATACCTGAGAAAAACAAAGTAGAAGAGGAAAGATTTATTTTGCCTTACAGTTTCAGAGGTTCCATGGTTGGCTTTGGGCCGGAGATGAGGCAAAACATCATGGCAGAAGGGTGTAGTTGAGGAAAGCTGTTCAGCTTCTGACTGCCAGGAAGCACAGAGAGAGAAGAAGGAATGGGTCGGGGACAATAGAGAGCCCCCAGTGACCTATTTCTTCCAACCATGCTTCACCTGCCTACAGTTTCCATCATCTCTTACTTGTCTACTCAGCTATCTTGAGAGCTTGATTAGAGATTCCAGCAAGGGAGTTCAGCTACTCATATACCTTTGACCAAAGGTATAAATCCTCTGTACTATACAGATCTGGCAAAGATTTTTTTTTTTTCTATTTAGTACCATGGCTTGAACCCAAGGGCACTTAACCACTGAGCCACATCCCTAGCCCTTTATGTATATCTTTTTAGAGACAGGGTCTTGCTAAATTAATTCAGGTCTTGCTAAATTGCTGAGACTGACTTTGAACTAACAATCTTCCTGCCTTAGCCTCAGGAGCCACTGAGATTACAGGGGTGCGCCACTACGCCCAGCACAAAGATCTTTAAAGAGATGTGTGAAACTTTGGATTCAACATGGTGTGTGTGTGTGTGTGTGTGTGTGTGTGTGTATGAAGTTGTAAATTCAGTACCTCAATTTTACTAGCCACATTTCATGTGCTCCATAGCAATGGATGTTTAATGGTTCCCTTATTAGACAATAGAGATATAAAACATTCCTATCATCACAAAAGGTTGCATCAGCCGGTGTGGTGGTGCACACCTGTAATCTCAGCAGTTCCAGAGGCTGAGGCAGGAGAACTGCAAGTTCAAAGCTAGCCTCAGCAATGGGGAGGCGCTAAACAACTCAGTGAGACCCTGACTCTAAATAAAATGACAAATAGAGCTGGGATGTGGCTCAGTGGTCAAGTGCACCTGAATTCAATACCTGGTACCCACCCCCAAAAAAATCACATCAAATAATGTTGCTGTAGGGCTGGGGATGTGGATCAGTGGTACAACATCACTGGGGTCAATCTCCAGTACTGGAAAAACAACAACAAACTCACAGTGAAACTCTACTACATTCTAGCCAGAGTGGCTAGAAAGAAAAGGAGTAACAATATCCAGTATTGATGAAGATATGGAGCACCTATAATTTCCATACACTGGTGCAGGGCGGCAGTGGGGGGGGTGAATTGTTACACTGGTGAATTGTTAGAACCACTTTGGAAAATCATTTGGCAATACCTATTAATGTTCAATATATTTATATCTTAAAATTCAGGAATTTCGCAGCTGGAAGTATACCCTGGGGAAATGAATACACATATCCACCAAAAGCTATGCACAGCAGCTTTATTCCTGATAGTCAAAAACTGGATACAACTTAAATGTCCATTAGCAGTAGAATGGATAAATTGTGGCATATTCGTACCATGGAATGCCACAAAATCAGACAAAACTTGTCTGTGGTAATAGAGCTCAGAGTACTGTTGACATTTGGAAGAGAATATTGACTTTGAGCTTGCTAGATGCTGGAAATGTTTAATATTTTGATCTGGGTGGTGGTTACATGATATATGTATGATATATAAATAGTATATATAATAGCATATATACATATGATGAATACTATGTATACATATGTAATAGTTTATCAAGCTGTACCCTTAAAATGTGTGTACTTTATTACCTGTAAGTTTTACTGCAATAAAAATAATCAATAAATCCCTAATTAAGGGCAATAGCTCCACCCAAAAAGGTGGTTTTGTATCACTATCTTAAATAAAAATTAAAAATAGATCACTTCTAATACATGCTAAAATGTTATTCTGAAAATCATGTCTATATACCATTTAAAATTATTCCTTGTACATCAGGAAATCAAGTACCACATTTTGGTTAAGGCATTCTAGGCACTCTGGGGGTTTTATAGGAGCTGGTGCTAGGATGCTGGCAAACCAAGGAAAGTCTGTGGCCAAGGAGAGATTGGATAGCTAGGATTATGCTTTGTCACCATCCTGGGCTGGGGTTATGGCATGTCTAGGCTCCACTTCAAGGCACATGCCAGCAAGTTGGAAGAGGAAAGGAGGCAAACTGGGAAAGGGGGCAAAGAAAAAGGGCCAAGGGCAGATTCCCTGGTGCTTTGGCACATGGCCCAAATATTGGTCTCCTGACCTCACCAGAGATGCAACAAATGTGAAACAAGTCAATTGGTTTCCAAATGGGAAGGTGCCAGCCATGATTTTTGCTGCCCAAGGAATCAATAACAATAATTCTTGTGATTCATGTTCATCCTGTTTATTCCAAAGCACTTTACCAAAAAGTCCTTTGGCTCAGCCAAGAAGTTCAGGGCCAGAAGCCAGAACACCTGGACTCTAGATCCTGGTATAGAACCTTCCTTAGGGTCTAAGTTTCTTCTTCTGTTATTGTAGCAAGTGACATGTGGAGAATTTTACAGTTTTACATATATCATCTCACTTGACCCTCCAATTCCTAGTCAAGAAAATTAGAGTAGATATGATTGTTATTCTAATTACACAGATACAGCAATGGGATCAAATAAGGTGAGGTTAGAACTTGACCAAACTCATATACTATTAGGATTGTGGGGGGGTGGCCCTGGTTTCACCCCCAGATCTGGAAAAAAATGTGGGGAAGTTGCTAAGCTGGGACTTTTGATTCTAAAACCCTTTGCTCTTTTCTAGTCAAAAAATAAATAAATAAATAAAATTAATTCCACACCCTGCTTTTAGTGCAGTGTGAGATGGCTTGATTTTCACAAAATGCCCTATGTATACTCCAAGGGCAGGTCTGTTTGTGGAGATGTACAATTGGGGGAGGGGACTCCAACAAAACAAACAAAAATAAATAAATAAGTACAAAATCAAGTATAGGCCTTAAACAGGCCCTGAAAGGAAGGGGTCTTAAGAATTAAACTTCATTTAGTATCATGGTTAATCTGCTTCTCTTATATGCCATGACCTCTAAAAAACCCCGGACACACCAGATCTTGACAGTGTTTCCCATCGTTTGTGCAACGTGGCAGAAGTGAGATGTGGAAGTCCTGGGAAAGGAATCTCATTTCTCCCAAGAGACAAGAGGAATTACAGCAGTAGCCAGATAGTGTGGGGATGGAGAAGGTAGTGTGCCAGGGGACAGTCCAAAGGGGGCTGTGTGACCCGCCTGGCTGAGATGTGGGCAGCAGCAGTGCCAGGAGCAGTGGCGCTGTCCCGTGAGAGATGGCCCAAACTGTAGGCTGGCCTGTTGGAAGTAGACGTCCTTCTCACTGTCTTCTGGTTCCCTGCATCCTGTCCTGATAACCTTTTCTCTGAGAAGGGAAGGCAAAGAGACAAGCCACCGCCGAAGGCCCTGGGAGGCTAGAGAGTGGCTCCCGCCCCGGACTTTCCTTCCCCCGCGGGCAGGATGGTGAACTGCGGACCGCCACCCGAAGGCCGCCGGGCTGCAGCTTCCCCGGCACGGCCGGGGTGCCGGGCTCCCCTCGTGGATCCCCGCTGCCGCCGGGGGGCAGCGCCCGAGGCCTGCTTTCTCAGGGCTGGCCGAGCCTTTTTGACAAGCTGATTGCGTAGCAGGGATTGGCTGGTCCGGGCGTGACGCCGGTAACAACAAAGGTGGAGTTGGAAGAAATTAGATTAAAGGAGAGGGGGGAAATAATAATTAAAGGGGGAGCTGGCAGGGGACAGGAGGCAGACACCGAGGGGGAGATGCGCGAAGCACGATCTCCCGGCTCCAATACCCCCTAGAAGCTCCTTTGCACAAACCCACCAGGATTTTGCTCTTCATCCCCACGCCGGCTCTGGCCCAGTTACCGAAGCCGGGGTAGGAGGGATGGCTGCTGCTTCTTGAAAAATCCCAACTCTCACCCTGACACCCCTCACTACGACCCAGGGGGAGAACTTTTTACTCGGATTTCTCGGATACTAAGCCGGGTAAAAGTGGGGGGCAATGCGAACAACGAGGGACTCGCTCCGAAACCCGGAAGGCCCTCGCGGGGCACGGAGATCGGACCAGACGGGGTGCTCCCCCGGTTTTCCGATGTGTTGCAAATCTAAGCTTCTTTCTTGCTTTTTTCTTTTTATAACATCCCCCTTTGCTCCCCCCTCCCCGCTTTGGCTTCAGGGTTGCAAAAGCAAAGAGCAATAAAAAAAAAAAAAAAACCCGCGCGCACACACAGACACACACCAGTGGCGACAGGAGAGAGTTGGAAAGACGCAGGAGAAAAGCAGGAGGCAGCGGGAATGGAGCAATGGGAGCGGGAAGCAGGCAGGTTCCCTCGCAAATTCCCCTCCGGCCCCAAGCCGCCTCGCCGGCCCCGGCAGGGGAGCAAGAAGCCGGGCGAGCAGATGGAGGAGTGGAGCTCGCTCTAGGCAGCGGGCTTGGCCGGAGAATGGAGGAGCCGCCAAGCGACCGGCTGATTGGAAGAGAAACGCAGAGCGATGGAGGCGGGGGTAGGAGGACGATTTCTCTGCGGGGACTGGCGGCGGCGTACACGCCCGGGTCGGGCGCTGCAGAGCTTGGCTGGCTTTCAACCCGCGCTCGCCGGCTCCAGCCCCGCGCGCCCCCACCCCCAGCCCTGCCGGCGGCTCCGCAGGTGAGTGCGAGCTGGGGGCTAAAAGACCCGAAAGTCTAAGCACGCCCGTCCTGCAAAAAAAAAAAAAAAAAAAAAAAAAAAAAAAACAATTAAATTCCCTTTTTAATTTTTTTTTTTTTTAATTTTCGTACAGCCCCCAGAGCAGTGGGAGGGAAGGGGCGAGGCTGAGCCGTCCGGAGGAGGCGGAGGGGCCAGGCGAGGCCGGGGAGGCCCGGGAGGCGGCGGCGCCGAGGCGGCTCTGACGGGCGAGCGCTCGGAGCGGCGCTGCGCTGCGCCGAGGCGGGCGGGCGGGCGGGCGGAGCGGGGCGGGCGGAGCGCGGCGCGTGGGGCTCGCCATTAGCCGTCGCTCCGCTTCGCCATCTCGGGCTTTGTCTGGCGACTAGCTGCCCCAGCGTCGGCTGCGGCGGAGCTGCAGCTCGGCTTTTCCGCCCGCCGCGCTCCTAGGTCCCTCCGGCCTGCGCTCCCATCCACATACTCGGTAAGTGAGCCTCCTTGCCGCGTATTTCGGGGGAGAGGGGTTACTACCAGCGGCGGCGGCGCCGACCTCCATGCGCCGGAGCAGGCCTGGGGAGCCATGCCGGGCTGGATTGAACCGGCTCCCAGAGCTATTCCACCTCTGGAGCTGGAGCCCGCTCGCGATTTCTGGGCTTTAAGAAGCAAAAGGAATCGTTTTGTTTGGGGAGTCGGGGTGATATATATATTTGTGTATATATATATATGTATATATATTTTTTTGTTTTTGGTTTCGTGAGTGCCTTTTGGTAGCAAGGGGACCGCGAGGTGGGCGCTGAAGCCTGGCGCCGCTATCGGCGTGCGTGCGCCCCAGCCGGTGGCCACGCTCCGGGGATGAGGGTGGGCGCCAATAGCCCGCCCGGGAAGGCGAGAGAGGGTGAGGACTGGCCTGTAAGTACGATCCTAAGCTGGGAAGACTTGGAAGGGAGCTCCGGAGCAGGGCTGTTGGCACCCCCTGAGCCTTACCGGCCACCGGGGGGCCCTCCGGGCACCCTCTCCACGGCCGCACCTCGGCCCTCCCTTCAGCGCCGGCCAAGCCTGCTAGTTCCCCCGCGGGTCTGGCGAGGTCGCTCTCGGCGTCTGTACGCCCGCCTCGGCTCCGAGCCCCGCCGCCATCCGGGCGGCTGCGTGTCTCCCAGCCCGGCCCCCCCCCTCCGGCGGCAGTGGCAGCCGCCGCCGCTGCTGCCGCCGCCGCCACCACCACCACCACTACCACAACTACCACCACCACCACCGCCACCCCCCTCCTTCCTTCCCTCCGCCTCGGCCGCCCGGGTCCCCCCAGCTCCCGCCCCTCCTCCCAGCTGCCCCCCGCGGAGCCCGCCCGGGCAGGCTGTGGGAGGGAGCGGAGCCGGCGAGGCGGGCGGGCTGGCGCTCGCTCCCCGGGGGTCGGTGTGCGCTCTACGGGGAAGGACGCGCTCGCTGCCCCGCTTCTCCCGCCCCCCCTCCCGCTCCTCCTCCTCCCTTCTCCCTCCTCCTCCCCGCTCCGGCGGCGGAGGCTGCTGCGGCGGCGGGGGGTGTGCGAGCTGAGGCCGAGGCCGGGGCCGGCGGGCGGGCGGGCGGGCTGCCTGCAGGCGGAGGGCGCTGTGCTTTGTGCTTTTCGCCGCGAGGAGCAGCAGGCAGCAGCCACAGCCGCCGCCGCCACAGCAGCAGCAGCCGCCGCCCCAGCGCCTCCGCCGCGCCGGGAGGAGGAGCCGCTGCCACCGCGGGAGGGAGCTGCGGCTGTGCCCGGCCGAGCGGGGGAGGGCGCCGCCGCTCAGAGCCGGGGAGGGAGCCGCCAGAGCGGGAAGCCCGGAGGCCGCGCTGCGCCGGGTAACCGAGACGGCTAAGGACGCGCGCTAGGGTCGGGGCCAGGACCTGACGGCAAGGGAGCGAGCCGCGGGTACGGTGGACGCCGGGCGAGGACCCGGAGCCACTTCCGAGCAGGGGACTGGGCTCGAGCAGACCAGGGGACTGGGGAAGACACCGAAGCCGGGGGAGGGGAAGGCAGGAAGCGAGGCCCGGGTCGGGCCGGGCCACGGGCGGAGGAGCCCGCGCTTCTCGGAGCCGGCAGGCGCAGTTCTCGCCGGCCGCCGGAGGGGGCGGCGGGGCCGGTGAGCGCTGCGCCCCCGCCTCCCGGCTGCCGTCCTCCCGCCCTCCCTTTGGCTCGGCTCCCCGGAGGCCGGGGCGGGGGCGCCGGTGGGGCTGGGCCGCAGGCTCGGGGGAGGAGGCGGCGGTTCCCGCCGTGGTCGCGCCTCTGCGCCGGGCTCCTCCGTGAGCGTCAGGGTAGCTGGGCGGTGGCAGAGCCTCTAGCCGGGGTGGGTGGCTCGGGGGCTGGGGCCAAGCTAGGCCTCTTCTCTTCGGCTGCTCGCCCGCCCGGGCGGGCTGGGACGGCGTTGGGCGATCGGGAGGGGGGAGCGGCGGAATCCGGATCCGGTCCCCGGGGGCGGTGCGGCCGCTGCGCTCCGGGGCTGGCGGCGGCTGCGCTGCGTCCGGGTCCCCGCCGGGTTGCGGAGGCGGGGGGAACCGGCCGGGGGGAGGCGGGAGGAGGAGACTGGGGCGCGTGCCCGCTTCCGTGGCCGCGCGCGCCCTTTACCCGCCCTTCCTCCTCCCCCGCCCTCCAGCCTGGGGCCTCCCCGGGGCGGGCGCACCGAAGAGGAGGAGATTTTTTTTTTTTGGGGCCGGGTGGGGGAAGGAGGGCGGGCTCTCACTGCACGCGGGAGCTGGGAGCAGTCTCTCGCGTGGGCAGGGGAGGGCGCACGCCGCGGAGCCGGGCTGCAGGGGCTGGGGGACGGGGTTGGGAAGAAGAGGGGCGCACTTCCACACCCTCCGACCCATAAGTCTGAGTATCCTGGCTTGGTCTTACTGAGAGTTGGGACCTGTGCCCACTCCCCTTTGGGATGGGGGTAGGATAGAAAGGCCTCCACCTCTCAGCCTGAGTGGGGACTGGTGTCTCTTCTAAAGGGTGAGGTGGCTTTGACCCCGGGTTGCGGGGCCAGCGCGACCGAGGAGGTGGCTGGACAGCTGGAGGATGAACGGAGAGGCCGACTGCCCCACAGACCTGGAAATGGCCGCCCCCAAAGGCCAAGGTAGGGGTCCTCCACCCCCAGCCCTTTTTAACTTAAATCTTCTTTCCCACATGTCTGTCTGCAGGGCTCTCCTTCTAAAGGATTCTCCATTCTGCATTCTCTGATCTTGGAGAGGATGTCTTGAGCATAATTTTATAAGTTGAGCATCCTTCACACTTGGAAGGAATAATTTAGTTTGGCCAAATCCAAATTATTTGGCTTTGAGACTGTAAATTGTGTCTTTCACACACCTCTCGCTCCGTGTTTGAGGGAGAAGGGAGACCCGTGAAAGTCGTCTTTTGAAAGTCGTCTTTCTGGGCTTCCCCGTCATCCTGAAGTGTGTCCCCGCTCTGATTCCTGGGCTCGAAGGAAGGATGAGGATTGAGAGGGGGTGGGGGATGGGGTGCAGCAGGACTGGGAAGGCTTTTTAGGTTTTTTATTATCATTATTACTATTATTATTATTGTTGTTAAAAAATAAGGTTTTGGCCAAGGCAGATGGAGAGTTAAGGCCCCAGGCCATGGAAGTTATATACACAACTAGACCCCGGCTTCATCCAAGAGGAACCTAGTATAGTTGGGCACGGGGAGTAGAACTAAGCTCAGCATCTGGCAATGCTTGTAGGACATTGAGGGGAGAAAAGATTATGGGGTCCATGTGACCCTGCTCTGCAGAAACCCTGGACCAGGTTACCATATGCAAGTAAAAGTGAGGAGCCTCTTTGACTTGGAGCCATGGATGGCTACTATCCCAGCTCACCTTCCAGGACAGTCACTCTTTAGAGAGGCCCCATGCTCTCTGAATTGTATTTCAGTGGCTGAAAATAGCTGGTTCAGATCCCCTTTTTTGTTCCCTAATACAACTTGGAATTGGGTAGGGAGGATGTCTCCCTAGAGCAGGGTCCTGAGAGCCTTTGCCCACCTATGTGCCTTGCCTCAAAGCTGCCCTATATAGTTCTTCATATCCATCCCATTTTTATTTGAGAGAAATTTTCTGGTCTCTCTTGAGGGACTGGGAGGGAGGAGGGATGATATACTCTTGTCTCTAATGTAGGTTTCCAGCTGTGCTAGAGAGACATCTGTATGGAGTCTTCTTTTTGTCCACACCCCTTTTTCAGCACTTGGACATTAATGGTATCTACCTAGAATTTGAATTTGGCAATACCTTTAGATATGTTGCCTTCCTGCTTTCTTTCCTCTCTGATAAACTAATTGCTTTCCCAATAGAGTCACAGTTCACAGGAACTTTATTTCCCCCTGCCCTCTTTCTACAGTTAATAGGGGCCCATGGAAGCCTGGAATGTTAGAAATGAAAATATCCCTGAAGGAAGCCAGTCCTGGGTTCAAGCCAGGCTTTCTACATGTGACACTGGACCAGTCTCTGCCCTAATCCAATGTGACCAGTTTGCTTAGGGATAAGTTATACTTAAGGAAAGATACTTTTGTTTACATGGGAAACAAGGACTCTTGGAAAGAAAGGTTGGATACTCGAGGACTGGGGAGTAGATCAGTATGATGGCATGAGCCAGGTGTGATGGCTTCTTTTACCCCTCACCAGACCGCTGGTCCCAGGAAGATATGCTAACTTTGCTGGAATGCATGAAGAACAACCTTCCATCCAATGACAGCTCCAAGTTCAAAACCACTGAGTCACACATGGACTGGGAAAAAGTAGCATTTAAAGATTTTTCTGGAGATATGTGCAAGCTCAAATGGGTGGAGATTTCTAATGAGGTAACTGAATCCCCGTCTTTCTGACACACATGAATATGCATCTACACATAACCCTACCTTGTCCTTCTTGGAGGGGGAAATGAAACAAAGTCTGTAAACAGGAAGGAAGAAGGCTAGAAAGGTGTTCATGTGGTCACCTGTTAGCTCTCTATTTGACCTTGTGCCTGTGGAGGAGATGGCACCATTAACATATCAGCCTAGAGGTCTTAATTCTGCCAAGGTCTCACAGGTGGCCATGAATACTAATTGGCCTGGGGCCTGGGGCTTCTGTTGCCTGAACTATTCCAATGAGGTACTTGTCCTTTGGTGTGAGCTCTGCAGCAGGCCTGGTCAGTGCCTGGATCGTGGAGATTACCTGTATTGTAGGGCTGTTGGTCTCTGTTCTTTCAATCAATTATCTGGTAGAGTGGTGGAAACCCATTGGGAAAGGGAGCTCTGTATGGGGTAGCATTTCCCAGCTTCTTCTACTCACCTCCCTTCTTCCTCCAGGTGAGGAAGTTCCGTACGTTGACAGAATTGATCCTTGATGCTCAAGAACATGTTAAAAATCCTTATAAAGGCAAAAAACTCAAGGTGAGTTACCAGGAGGTGGAGCGTGAGGGTCCAGGGAGGAGTATTCCAAAGAAGGATGGTGTTTAACCTCTATTGTGTCTTTGTCCCACCTTCCAGAAACACCCAGACTTCCCAAAGAAGCCCCTGACCCCTTATTTTCGCTTCTTCATGGAGAAGCGAGCCAAGTATGCAAAACTCCACCCTGAGATGAGCAACCTGGACCTGACCAAGATTCTTTCCAAGAAATACAAGGAGCTTCCTGAGAAGAAGAAGGTGGGGGGAGGGGGTTTTAGGTGCGGGGAGGGAAGAGACTGGGAGCAACTGGTGTGTGTAGGTTATTGTGGGGGTAGGCCTTAGAGGGACTTGGCATCAGGGACATAGGAATCAGCACAGCAGAGTGGTGTCCCAGGCAGCTATACCTGATTGCTCTATTCCAGGCCCATACACAGTCAAAACAGGTACCCTTGCAGGTGAAACCCAGGCCCAAGCAGTTGCTCAGATCAACCTTGTCCCCTATGGACCATTCACAGTGTCCTCTTCCATACACCTCTCCACACACATGTCCTTAGTGTTAGGCCTGCACAGCAGTTTTGGATCCTTCATATTTCCCCTCATGGCCTAATTTAATGCCTGTAATATCCTCACAAAGAAACCCCAGGAAAGGGGGGTTATTCTTATGCTGTGGGCAAAAAACTGAGGTGCAGGGAGGTTAAGTGTCATGTCACACAAGTAATGATGCTAGAGCAGGACTTGGCCTTGGCACCCTAGGCTCCCTGTCTGCTACTTTTCCCCCTGCCACATCCACATGTTAAATGGGCTTTCTTCCCCATGTACAAGAATACACCTTATCTTTCCTGGCCTCATATTATCCCCTGCAGAGGTCAGACACTGTCCCAGACAGTCAGAGGTTGATGACCTCAGGCATAAGTTGCCCAGGTCTACCAGGCAGGGATGGACACAAGTCAAGGACAGCTCAGGAAGTCCCATGCAGTGATAAGAAACAAAATACTGAAGGAATCCTTCAGATGAGACATGTGTAAGGTGGGATGAGAGAGGTAGATGAGAAGAGATACTGTTTGATGAGATGGAGCCAAGGAGAGAAGTTGATGAGGGCCATGGGGAGAGGCCAAAAGGCACATTGACTGGGAAAAAAGACAGTTGTACATAGCCAGCCCTCAAAAAGTGACCCCTATTGCCACACTCAGTGGACCTTTTCACTGGTTCATATATACTGGCTGTAGACACATATGCTCTTGGTGCTGAACCCAAAATGGAACCAGGTAAAACTAGCCCTCTGGCCACTGCCCAAGCTAAGCAGGAGCTATGATTTATTGGAGTTATGATTAACCCCCCTGATGAGGTTAAGGGACAACACAGAAAACTCATGGAATGGGAGGGAGAGGCAAAGGATCTGAGAACCAGGGATGGACAGAAGAAATGGGTAAAGTGGACAAGATGCTGGCCTGGGGGACACAGACTTGTCCTCTTGGACTGCCACAACATTGCTATGTATGAGGCCTTGCGGTAAGTCAATTCGCTTCTCTGGGCCTGGTCTTGTTTATAAAGGCGAGCCATATCTGTGAGGTGCCTTTTGGCTCCAAAAACTTGTATGTGGAGGGCCAAGACTGTGCAGAGGAGACATTGTTCTGCTCTTGGTTTTCTGTGGGAACCACAGGGGAAAGTGAGCCACTTCTCTGTGCTGGTTGTGTACTCTGTGAGAGGCAGGGGTTGGCTTGATCTCCATGAGCCCCTGACTGCTTCCAGTGCTATTCTTGCAATTATAGGGGAAAAAAGGGAGGAAAAGAGATGGCTACTAGACAGAAGGTAGATAAGGAAGGGCAAGGATTGGAAACAAGGTGGAAGTAGGGGGACTCCTAGAGGGAGGGAGGCAAGGAGAGGGAAAGGAAGACCAGGCGGAGAGGAGGGAGAGGGAAGGGAGCCAAGTGGCAGAGGGGAACAAGAGGCCTGAGAGGGTGCCAGTCAGCCAGCTGCCTGGAAGAAGGGATCAGAGGTAGGAAAGATGGTGGTAGCTGAGGCACCAAGAGGGGATGGTTACAGAATTGGGAAGGAATGTGAGGGGCAGATAGAGCCCCAGGGGCAGTATGGATGGGGAAGAAAAACCCAAGAGACAGATCTGCTGGGATGTGGTCTACCTTATAAGAATTCATTCTAAATTTCCTTCATTACAATCTCGCTTCATGCTTTGGAAGCAGGATTCAGCCACCTGGCCCTATGGGCCATCTCCAAATAGACACACTGATGTCAGCTTCCTCAGACAGTGGGGAGAGGGAGTAATGGGAGCAGGGTCTCCACCAGACTCAACGTTGGAATTTTCTGGTGTCAGAGAAGGGGTGGGGCAATCCTAGTCCTGCCACTGACAATTTAGTGGTTGTGGTAATGCCAAGTCCCCCTTCTACAACTCTCTTACATAGAATAGGAATAAGATTCCATGTCTGAAAGACCACTGTAGTTCCCACTGTCTGGTTCTCAGCCACCAGGTCTGGTGTGTGGTGAGCCCAATCCACTGGAAGGCACAGGCTACCATCCGTCCACATCACAGCGGGAGGCAAGAAAGCTAGCGAGGAGGGTTCCTGGTGGCTTTTGTAGCTCCGGGTGAGATAGGCCTTGGGTCCTGGATGACCCCGTCCCCTCCTCCCCCCAGATGAAATATATTCAGGACTTCCAGAGGGAGAAACAGGAGTTCGAGCGAAACCTGGCCCGATTCAGGTAAGGCAGTGAAGCCCAGAGGAGGGCCATGGGGCACTGGGTGTGACAGTATAGGCTAATGCTGGCTGGAGGCTGGTGCTGGCCATCTGCAAAATATGGAATATGATGGGTCACATACAGACCCTAATGTATTATGCTCAGGGGCAGGGACAGGCAAGCAGCCTCTGTCCCACTAAGCCCCAGATGGAAGGCCTAGGAGGCTCTATGGGTGGGGCAGCTAACTTGGGTCTGCCCAGCAGTGTCCCCCATTGAACCTTGCTCCCCATGCCCTGGCTAGGGAGGATCACCCCGACCTTATCCAGAATGCCAAGAAGTCGGACATCCCTGAGAAGCCCAAAACCCCCCAGCAGCTGTGGTACACCCATGAGAAGAAGGTGTATCTCAAAGTGCGGCCAGATGTGAGTGTCTGGCCAAGGGGTGGGGGTGGAGGCGCACGGTGGTGGCAAGGGGGGAGCCGCGCCAGGTCGGCTGGGCACGGTGCAGGGGAGCAGGAGAGGAGGCCCCTCCCCAGGGGTGGGCTGCATGGACAGGGCCTGGGCCAGCTGGCGTGCGAGCGTGTGTGTGCGCGTGTGTGTGAGCCTGTCCCCTTGCACCCAGGCGGGATCCCCGCCTCTCTGCCTTCCCCTCCTGGCCTGTGGGGGACACTAATGTGACCTCCTGTGGCCTGAGGGGGCGGGGGCCTCTGTGCCCCCTACCCCCCTCCCCCTGCCCCTGGCTGCCTGTGTGTGTCTGACGGCTTTTGGTTTGCAGGCCACTACGAAGGAGGTGAAGGACTCCCTGGGGAAGCAGTGGTCTCAGCTCTCGGACAAAAAGAGGCTGAAATGGATTCATAAGGCCCTGGAGCAGCGGAAGAAGTACGAGGTTAGGCTTCCGCTGCGCTCCTCCCCATCCGGCTCTTCAAGAGCCTCTGCCCTCTGACTCTGTGCCACCGCATGCTGCGGGAGGCAGTCACTCCCCAGCCATCCATTGAGGGAGGGGCCTTCTGGGCCCCTCACCTCTGTCTCTATCTTCCCTACCCCCACCCCACCATGAGATCTCAGGCTAGGGCAGGGCAGGGCACCACAGTTCGGCTTGTTTTGTGTGAAATGGCAGACATGGCCATCCCCAGCTTTGCTCCCTGCCCTCCCTCCCCAGCGGCTCTCCCCCTTCCCCTGCCCCGGCTAACCCCACTCCCCATTGCCCTCCACCCCCCCCACCTCACTCTGCAGGAGATTATGCGTGACTATATCCAGAAGCACCCTGAACTGAACATCAGTGAGGAGGGCATCACCAAATCCACCCTTACCAAGGCTGAACGCCAGCTCAAGGACAAGTTTGATGGGCGACCCACCAAGCCACCTCCGTGAGCACTGTCCTGTGGTGGGTGGGTGAGTGGGCAGCTAGGGAATTGGGCCAGTGAAGGATGTGCTCTACAGCGATGAGGTCAACTGCTCACTTGCTTATGGGGTGTGTCTCTCTTCCTGCCCGTTTTGATAGGAACAGCTATTCACTGTACTGCGCAGAGCTCATGGCCAACATGAAGGATGTGCCCAGTACGGAGCGCATGGTGCTATGCAGCCAGCAGTGGAAGCTGCTGTCTCAGAAGGAGAAGGATGCCTATCACAAGAAGTGTGACCAGGTGCTTCATAGCAGGGGGCAACCCATGGAGACTTTGGGGCCCTCCTTCGGGGTTTCAAGTGTGACCCCAGCAAAGCTCAAATCAGTCCTTGGTTATAGGTGCCTTGGCACCTGCTTCCAGCATGGCAGTGTGCTAGGTTTGGCATCTGGGCCTGTTAAGGAAGACAGCTCAGGCCTCTTGCCTACCATCTGTTGGAGGAGAGCAGGCCCTGGGGGAGGCTTTCTGAGGGTTCCTGTCCCTAATACTGGAGTCTCTGGTGAGCCTATCCCCAACTGACCCTGATTCCCCTCCCTTTCCCAGAAAAAGAAAGATTACGAGGTGGAGATGCTCCGTTTCCTTGAGGTGAGTGTTGCTCCAGGTGGGGACTGGGCAGAGAAGACAGGCTAGGCGGGAGAGCCCTGAGGATCCCTGGAGAGCAGGTAGACTGCAGCCCCACCCCTCTCGTCTTCCCCGCCAGAGCCTGCCCGAGGAGGAGCAGCAGCGGGTTCTGGGAGAGGAGAAGATGTTGAACATCAACAAGAAGCAGGCCACCAGCCCAGCTTCCAAGAAGCCCACCCAGGAAGGCGGGAAGGTGGGCAGAGGCACCATCGGCCCAGCGGGAGGGGAACGAAGGGCTCTTCGGCCTGTGAATCCCGACCCTTCTGTACCTTCCCAGGGCGGCTCAGAGAAGCCTAAACGGCCAGTGTCCGCCATGTTCATCTTCTCTGAGGAGAAGCGGCGGCAGCTGCAGGAGGAGAGGCCAGAGCTCTCTGAGAGTGAGCTGACCCGCCTGCTGGCCCGCATGTGGAACGACTTGTCAGAGAAGAAGAAGGTTAGTCTTGCCCCTGAGAGGCGCCTCCCCACCAGTGTCCCCAGAGGGGCTGCTAGGACCACTTCCTCCCTTGGGGCAGCTGCGCAGCCTCGCCCCTGCCCCTGTCCCTAGGGCTTACATGTGTGGCTGGACTCAGATGCTGGGAGCCCAGCGAGCCGACCCGGAAGGCGGGAAGCTGTCAGCCACGGCTGTTGGCTCTGGGGGGAGCGGCCGGTAGGCGGGGCGGAGCCCACGGGGACATCTGTGCCGCCCACGCCTGTGCCAGCCCCTCCTCCCTACCCAGAGCTGCTGCTGCTGCTGCTGGTTGGGCTTAGTGCGCCCCCTAGGGGTGGCTCAGAGGCTGACACCTGTGTGGTCCTCCATAGGCCAAGTACAAGGCCAGGGAGGCAGCGCTGAAGGCACAGTCTGAGAGGAAGCCAGGCGCCGAGCGTGAGGAACGGGGCAAGCTGCCAGAGTCACCCAAGAGAGCTGAGGAGATCTGGCAACAGAGCGTCATCGGCGATTACCTGGCCCGCTTCAAGGTGGCAGGAAGTGGGACAGGGGTTTTTCCTGTAGCCTCCAGCCCTGGGTGACCCCTTCAGCTGATACCCTTGTCTGTCCCCAGAACGATAGGGTAAAGGCCTTGAAAGCCATGGAGATGACCTGGAACAACATGGAGAAGAAGGAGAAACTAATGTGGATTAAGAAGGCCGCTGAAGACCAAAAGCGATATGAGGTGGGAAGAGGACTGGGCCCACCCCCACCCCCCCATATAAGCTGGGGCTCTGAGCCAGAGATCCCAGCCTTGTTGTGACCCTGAACCAGTCTCAACTGGACGCCGCCCACCCCCCCCAATTGAGCCTCAGTCTCATCAGTAAAATGGAGGAGATAGTATTGGCCTTCAGGGTTATTGTTGAGGGACATGAGTTCAATTCCAAAAATACATTGAAATGATAGTGCTTGACATAGGTGTGAGTTGTTAGGTAATTGTTCCCTGGCCATGCTTTGGTTTCTGCTCTTCCTGTCACATAAAAAGAAAACCAGTTAAGGCATGACAGAGTGGGGCAGGGGGCAGCAGTATTTCAGGGGGTGTGGGGATGAGTGTGACCCTTCCAGGTCTCCCCACAGAGAGAGCTGAGTGAGATGCGGGCACCTCCAGCTGCTACGAATTCTTCCAAGAAGATGAAGTTCCAGGGAGAACCCAAGAAGCCTCCCATGTGAGCCTGGGGCTGAAGCCTGCCTTGGTGTGGGGAGGGTGAGGACTAGAGGGCCTGTTGGTTGGGGGTCTTGACCCTCCCTTAACAACCCCCATCTCCCAGGAATGGTTACCAGAAGTTCTCCCAGGAGCTACTGTCCAATGGAGAGTTGAACCACCTGCCACTGAAAGAGCGCATGGTGGAAATAGGCAGCCGCTGGCAGCGCATTTCCCAGAGCCAGAAGGAGCACTACAAAAAGCTGGCCGAGGAGCAGCAGAAGCAGTACAGGGTGCACCTGGACCTCTGGGTCAAGGTGAGAGGGCAAAGGACCCTTGGGAGGGAGAGGGAGGCACCATCCTGTCTTATTCATCATTTCTTTCAATACCCCAGCAGTCCTATGGGGCAGTGTTTACTGTCACCCTTTTAAACCAAAGCTCAGAGAGGTTAAATAATTTGCCCAAAGTCATACAGTAGGTAGAAAAATTGAAATCAGACTGCCTTTCCTCTCTCCATCTGGGACTGGGGGTCCTCTTTAGACTCTGGCTTGATTCCTAGTCTCTGAGCTTGGTTGAGTAGTAAGATCTGTAAAGTGAGGAGAATCATCTGTGTCCTCCCCAGCCACCCAAATTAGCCAAGAATTTGGCCAGAGATTAGACGCTCCAAATGTTAGATGAGCCCCAATGCCTCATCAGTGGCTCAGGGAACTCAGGACCAAGTAGAGTTGACGATATCAGGCTCTGTTGAGTCATTGTGGGGAGACTTCTAAGTTAAAGAAGGCCCCATCTATGGAGCCTCCATTTGGGTAGAGTAAGAAAATGAAAATGAGCAGTCTTGATGCATAGTGGCTTACATTAACCAGGAATGGTGGCACAAGCCTATAATCAAGGCTGAGGCAGGAGGGTGGCAAATTTGAGGTCAGTCTGGACAACTTAGACCCTGCCTCAAAATAAAAATAAAAGGATGTGGGGATGTAGCATCAAAAGCAGAAACTTGAGCTGTATTCCTAGACCCCTGGGGCACTCTTCAGAGACCAGGTATAAAGATGGGTGATGTAAAGAGGCCTATCGCCTGGCTGGAGCTCAGTATGCTCAGCTGGCAGTAATCTGGGGAGCGTCCCAACCCCCACCTTCTCTCTGTCTCCCCAGAGTCTGTCTCCCCAGGACCGTGCAGCATATAAAGAATACATCTCCAATGTGAGTTTGGGAGCCCGGCAGTGGCATGGTGGGGGCAGGGATCCCCAGGACCTGGAACTCACAGCTGTCCCTTGTGCATCCCCATCCTCTCCTACAGAAACGTAAGAGCATGACCAAGCTGCGAGGCCCAAACCCCAAGTCCAGCCGGACCACCCTGCAGTCCAAGTCGGTAAGGAGCTTCTCCCAGTTAGGGAGCAAGTATCTGTACAACAGGGTCCCAGTGCCTGGAGTGGCTAGGCCAAGACCACTGGTGTCTCTCTGCCCCTCCAGGAATCTGAGGATGATGATGAAGAGGATGAGGATGATGAGGATGAAGATGAAGAAGAGGAAGATGATGAGAATGGGGATTCCTCTGAGGATGGTGGGGACTCCTCCGGATCCAGCAGTGAAGATGAGAGCGAGGATGGGGATGAGGTGGGGCAGGCAGGGCATGGTGGGAGGGGCAGGATTGGGTTCCACAAGGAGGGCCACCTGGTAACTGTACATCCTTTCTTCCTCTAGAACGAGGAGGATGATGAGGATGAAGATGATGATGAGGATGACGACGAGGATGAAGACAATGAGTCTGAGGGCAGCAGCTCCAGCTCCTCCTCCTCAGGGGACTCCTCAGACTCTGACTCCAACTGAGGCTCACCCCCCGGGGCAGCCAGGGAGAGCTTTAGAGCTCCCCTCCCCAACTGACCACCTTTGTCTCTCCCCCATGTTCTGTCCCCTACCCCCGGCCTCCCCCACTTTCTGTCTTTCTTTTTCTTTTTTTTTCTTTTTTAAACAAAATATGGTGGGGGTAGGGGACTGGAGGAGCCCAGGCCAGGACTCTGTAGCCTTGGAGCAATCAGCCCTGGGGGTCCTCCAGGGAGAGCAACCATCAGACTGAGCCAGCACTGGACCAGACCGGCCCACCCCACCCCTCTTCTGCACTTGCGGTTCTGGCATGGACAATGGACCAGGGGTGGGGAGTCCCAAAGAGTTCAGTGAGGCCCTCCACACCTGCAACCCAAACCAAGGTGGGGTGGAAGCTTGGGGAGGACTCCTTCCTTCCCAGAGGGGCTCACCACCTGGACCCCTGCATTGGAACTGGAGGCAGGGAAACTGTTGGGAGAGGCGGGCGGGTGCCTTTGAGAAAACAGGCACTGCCCTGATGGTCCTCTCCCCTGCCCCTGCAGAAAGGAGCTGCCTGGACCCACTCATGGGGGAGGGGCAGAAGTGTTTTTTATATATGTGTATATATTTTTTTTTTAAGCTCTGAGCTGTCAACGAGACGTTTCCTACCGATCCCGGCTGCCGTCTCTGTTGTCATTTCTGGGAGAGGGAGGGTTTAGGGGGTAGATTTGGAACTTTTTTTAAATGGTCTTGATGTGTGTGGGAGAGAGAGTGAGTGAGTGTGTGTGTGTGTGTGTGTGTGTGTACGTGTGCACGTGTGCACGCGCACACGCTGTATATAGCATGAGTGCACCTGTGGGTGTGTTTGAGTGCGTGTAGAAGAGAGAAGGGGTCTGTCCTGGAGCCCACCTCAGTTTTTGTGAATCTGGAAAAGGGTTGGTGAGGGCCAGGGAGATGATGATCCCAGTGGGAACAGGCTGAGGCTGCCCTTCTCTGCATGTCTCCACTTTGCCTGGTCTCTGGTTCTATTTGGGGAGGGCACTGAAGCCACTCTTGATGCTTCCTATACAGTTTCCCTGTGCCAGGGTCATGTGCATCTGAGCTGCTGCTGGTCCCTACTGTCCAGCAGGAAGTCGGGAAGGGGCAGACAATGGTGTGAACCTTAAAGCTTTTCTTTGGTGGAAAAGGCCTTCTGGCTCATGTGAGGGGCCAGCCTGGCCACTCTGGGCTCAGAATCTGGGCATCAGGAAGTGTGTTGAGCTCTTATGTACACATCCCTAACTGCCTTCCCCCATGTCCTCTGGCCACCCCATTTCCTTTGATTTCTCAGGTCTGCTCCCCCTCTTCCTTTCCCCTCAACCTTATAGTTGGGAAAGGGGCTACAGAAGCTGCTTTCTGCAGCTGTCCCTTTAACCCTTGCCAGCCATCCCAAGTTTTTTGGTACCCTGATTCCTTGACTCTTAATAAGCCAAGCCACCTTATCTGTGGATTTAATTTTTGTTGTTGGCAGTTTTTACTAAATTGGTTTAAAAAAATTTTTTTTTTAAACAATCATGTCAGTGACCTATTTAATCGGGGCTTTGTGCTTCCCACCTTCCCCTCTGAATGAAAGCCAGGAATGGGGGAAGTGGGACCTCTGCCAAGGTGGTGGGGCAGAAAAGGTAAAGGGCCCCACCCCAGATAGGCTGTGGGTCTCTCAACTGAAAGCAGAGACAATCTGCTTTGCCTGGACCCTGGTGCTTGGATGGGGAGGCCTAGGGAGGGACACTCCCCACTCCCACTCCCCTTCCTTTATCCTGACCCAGGAATTAAGTACAGGAGTTTATAGGTTATTTCTTCCTAAGAACCCCTGCAAAGACCCCCCCACCCAACGTCCTTTATCTGAATGCCCCTGCACTATTATGTTTTAGTGGAATGTGTTTTCATTTAAAAATAACTTTGAACAGGACACTTTTCCTGTTTTAAAAATTGAAAAATTCTTACAGTACAGACAGGGCCATGGGGGTGGGGGTGTTGGTGCTGTAAGAGGTCGCTCTGAGTGCATTTTGGCACTGGGACGGGATGGCTGGGGTGGGAAGACCCCCATTCCCCCACCTTTTTTTTCTAATATTTAAGGAGTGTTTTGTAGGTTTCAACAACAACCACACTTGAATTTGTATTATGGGAGGTGGGAGGGAATGGCTTAGAGGTGTCTGCCTAAGCTTAAGGCCAACTGTGGAAGTTTTGTTTTCCCTTTTTTTTGTACAATAAAGTGAAAAACAAAGGTCTGACTGCTGTCTGGTCACTGGAATAAGTGAAAGTGGGTGGCAGGGGTGACCCAATAGGTCAGATAAACTCTTGAAGCTATCTTTTTTGCCCATCTTACATCATTTTGTGCTACTGTTTGGTTCTTTCTAAATTCAGTTGGTCCACCTGAGGTTGTCGGTCACGAAGGACTGACAACAAGTTTTGGGAACAAATGCATTTTCACCAGAGGGCACCGCCTTAGAAAATGAGGTGATAAACCACTGAGGTCAAGGGTTCATCCTGGGCATGCCAGCCCTCCTGGTTGGTGCAGGATTTATCAAGTAGTGTTTGGGGCACCCTCCCACGTTGAGCCCTCAGCTCCATCTGGGTTCAGCATGATTTCTTAACCATCCAGGCCTCTGATAGGAAGTGGCTGGGACAAGATGACTTGCCCTCTGCAGCTTATGGATGTCTGCTTTCCTGGGACAGGATTCTGTTGGGTTCCTGGAACAGCCAAGGGCTGCAACACAACCTCTGTCCAAAGACTCCACCCCTGACCCCTTTCCTGTTCTGGGCCAAACTTCCAAAACTTTCCCACTCACCATTCTCCTAAGGCTACTCTTTACAGTCAACAACATGTCCATCTTTACACCCAGTGGACACTTGCCTGTGTCCTGCTTTCTTGGTTTACCTCTGCCCTCCCTCCTCATTCTGTCCTAGGTGTTGCTGTCTCTCCCTTGAACCTCCTGCTAAAAAATATGAGTCCAGCCATATTTCCTGTCTCCTATATGCTTGCTTGCTTGCCCTCCCATCATAGTACAACAACACAGAGGCCCTCGCCAGATGCTAGCACCATAATCCTGGATGTCCCAGCCTCCAGAACCATGAGCCAAATAAAATTCTATTTTTATAATTTACCCAGTCTGATATCCTGATACAGTAGCAGAAAATGGTCTAAAACACCACTCTTCTACAGAACTGTGTAGATATCTATGCATCCTCTGGGGTATCTCAGAAACACCTTGTACCTCGAGACCCAAAATAATCAACTATGTAGTCATTCAACCTAGAAACCAGAGTGTCAGCCTTGACTCCTCTCTCCCTCTTTCATTTTCATGTCCATCACCTGGACGTGTCCATTCCACTACCTAAATCTCTCTGAAACCTGTCTAGCCTGCTCACAACTGCCATTCCCATCCTAGTATCACCATCACCCAACTTCCGCAAAGACCTTTTTTTTTTTTTTGTAATTTATTTTTTAGTTGGACACAATACCTTTAACTTATTTATTTATTTTTATGTGGTGCTGAAGATCCAACCAAGGGCCCTGCACATGCTAAGCGAACGCTCTACCACTGAGCCACAACCCCAGCCCTGCAAAGACCTTCTTAAACTGGTCTTCCTATTTGCACTCTTGCCCCCTACAGTTCATACTGCACACAGCAGCCAAAGTTGTCTTAAAAACAAATTTGGAGGGCTGGGGTTGTGGCTCAGCAATAGAGTGCTCACCTAGCATGTGTGAGGTGCTGGGTTCAACCCTCAGCACCACTTATGTCTAAATCAATCAATTAATTAATTAATTAAAGGTATTGTGTCCAACTACAACTAAAAAAATTTTTTTTAAAAAATTGGTGAGGGCTGGGGGTGTGGCTCAAGCGGTAGCGCGCTGGCTTGACATGCGGGAGGCGCTGGGTTCGATCCTCAGCACCACATACAAATAAAATAAAGATGTGTCCACCGAAAACTAAAAAATAAATTTAAAAAAAAATTGGTGGGCTGGGCTGGGGTTGTGGCTCAGTGGTAGAGCGCTCGCCTTGCATGTGTGAAACCCTGGGTTCAATCCTCAGCACCACATAAAAATAAATAAAAAAAAAAAATTGGCGGGCTGGGGATATAACTCATTTGGTATAGTGCTTGCCTCACATTGACAAGGCCCTGAGTTCAATCCCCAGCACCATAAAAAAAAAAAAATGGCTGGGTGGGTGGGTTGCTGTACACACCTTTAATCCCCAGTGACCAGGGAGGCTAGTGCAGGAGAATGCAAATCCAGTCTGGGCAATTCAGTGATATCCTGGCTTAAAATAAAAAAGGGCTGGGATATACCTCAATGATAGAATGCTCCTGTGTTCAATCCTAATACAAAAAAAAAAAAAAAGCTAGGCAGTGTGGTGCACACTGTAGTCCCAGCTCTTGCAGTGCTGAGGTAGGAAGATCACTTGAACACAGGAGCTCAATGCCAGCCTGAGCAACATGTGAGACCCCATTCTCAAAAACAAAAAACAAAACCAAAAACCTCTGATCACTTCATGTGAGACCCCATTCTCAAAAACAAAACCAAAAACCTCTGATCACTTCAGTTTTCTTCAGATTACTCTGGTACTTAAAATTTACCATGGCCATAGAGGATGGACCCTGCATCCTCTCTTTCCTTTTGCTCCACTCTTCCTAATCATTCACAGTGATCCAGATAAGTGATCTTTCTTTTGTTTCTTGAGCATGCCTACCACAGGGTCTTTGTACTTCTCATACATACAACTGGTTTTCTCATCTTTTAGGCCTCAGCTCAAATGTTACCTGACAGATAGGCCTTTCCCAACAAGCCTCCCAAAGAGGCCTCCTCCTACATCTCCTTGTTTGTTTACTGGTCTATTCTATCTCCCAAAGGAAATACTTTACTTTCTTGTTCATTGCAGTAATCCCACCACTTAAAACTGCCCAGCATATATATGATAACCAAGAAAAATGGTCTGAATGAATGACTAAGTATGGCCCACAGGTCCAGGATGGGGGGTCTGCTGCTCCTGCTGGGCTCTCTGCCCCAATTCCAGCCAGCCACATTAGCCCTCTATGCTTCAAACATACCACCTTCTCTTCTAGGGTCCATACACATGCTGTTCTCTCTGCCTAGTTAATTCAGAGTACCACTTAAAGAACCACTTCCTCTGGGGGGAGAGGGGGGCCCTGAACCCCAACAAAAAAAGGTCTCCATGTCATGTTTCTTTGGCAGCCTGGACCTGGATGGACACCTTCATACTCAAGACTTGATCTTCCAAGCCAGGTTTTGCTAGGCAATCAGCCCCATTAAGACAAGGTCTGTGTGACTCTCTTGTTGCTGTAACCCTAGGGCCTCACCCAGAGCCAGAACCAGATCAGTCCTTAGAGTTTATAAACTGGTGCTAACTGTGGAGACTGGGCCTGTGCCCAAAGAGGTCACCACTACAGAATAGCCCAGGCCAAGCACCAAATAAACAGTAAGTCCAGTGGTAAAGAAGTTTGGTACAAGGGGCTGGGGATGCAGCTCAGTGGTTAAAGCACTTGTCTAGCATGTGCAAGGCCCTGGGTTCCATCCCCAGCAGCAGCAACACCACAACAAAAAAGTTTGGTATGACAATGGCCATGGATGGGGATATGAGGAAAAATTTAGGTAAAGAGAGAAGAGCCATGAAGGTTTCTTGGGCATGTGCAAATTCCTTAGGGGAGGACATTGTGGATATGTTTAGGTAAGAAACAAAGCAGCATCACTGGACTAGAGAATTCCTGAAAGAGAGGTAGAAGACAAGAGGTAAGGAAGGCTGAGGCCATGCTGTGTAAGTTCCTAAAGATATATCCTCTAGATCCAAGTTCAACCACCTTCTGAGTCTCTACAGGTTAGTCCCACAGTAACCCAATATATTCCAAACTGAACTTGTCCTCCTGAATCCTCTGCAGAGTTCCTCACTAGTTAAACACTGGTTAAAAGTGTTTTCAGGACCTTCTTCTCCTTTACCCCATACAGCTCAACCAGTAATGAAAACCTACTGCTTTTCAGAATGATAAACTTAAAGTGCAAGTCTGCTCAAGCAATTCCCTTGGAGGACTCCTCACTGCCTATAGGGTTAAAGCCCACAAACTCCTTGGTGCACACTTAGACCTGTATGATCTGGCCTGCTCACCTCCTGCAGTTCCCCCACCCATTCCTGTCCCCAAAAGTCCCAAGAGTGATCCCTATTCTGAAGCTCACTGTTGGGATATCTAATGCTGTCTTGACCTTCTGGTTCACCTTCCCCTGCAAGAAGCCTTTCTTTAGGGCCAGCTGCAGTGGCACACTCGGGAGGCTGAGAGTTCAAAGCCAGCCCCAGCAACTGTGAGGCGCTAAGTAATTCAGTGAGACCCTGTCTCTAAATACAAATAGGGCTGGAGATGTGGCTCAGTGGTAGACTGCCCCTGAATTCAATCCCCGGTACACCCCGCCCCCCCCCCCCCCCTGAAAGCCTTTCTTGACCAATTCTCTTACATCCTTTGTTGCTTCTTTCTGGCCATCTCTGAACTCTGTGCTTATCTTTTTTGTTTTTAATCACACTATTATGCAATTATTTTCCGACAAATCTACCTACCTATCCTACTAGATTGTACGCTTCTTGAAGAAGCACACTGTCATATTTCATATTTGTATCCCAGCACCCGCAGCGCATTAAGACTGACAGCTAAACCGGAAGGGGTGGCCCACGCCTGCAATCCCGGTGGCTGGGGAGGCTGAGGCAAGGAGGATCTAGAGTTCAAAGCCAGCCTCAACAAAAGAGAGGTGCTAAACAACTCAGTGAAACCCTGTCTCTAACTAAAATACAAAATAGGGCTGGGGATATGGCTCAGTGGTCGACTTCCCCTGAAGTTCAAGCCCTGGTACCAAAAAAAGAAAGAAAAAAAGAATAACAGCCAAGATTTATCAAGCATTTACACTGACCTACATATCTCAGGCACTGGCTTATTAATCCTTATGGTTTTTATACCCACTGACAATGTTAGAAACTGAGGTACAGGGAATTCACTTGCCAAATCCATTGAGTTAAATTCAGATCCGACTCCTTGGAAAACTAAGATCCAATCATGGTCTCAAATATGTGATTTCAGACTTTAACCCTATCTCCTGAGGGAAGAGGGCTGTCACACAATCATTCTAGGGCAATAGACAAGATTGATGGAAATGCCAGTCTAGGCATCTGCTGCGGCTGAGAAAAGGTCCGTTCGTCCGGAAAGGTAAAGGGGACTAAAAGCGTGCGGAATG